AACAGCCCCAGGACGCGCTGTGTGCCCCCGTGAGGCTGGTAAGCCAGGTGGCGGCGGCTGCCCGGGAGGCTCAAGTCCCACTCGCGGGCGAGAATGCATTGCCTAGGTATGATGAGAACGCGTACGAACAGATTCTGAATGCTGGGAATATGTGCGCATTTACATACCTGAGGATGAACCCGGACCTTTTCCAGCCAGACAACTGGAGGAGGTTCGTGGCGTTTGTGAAGAGGATGGGGGATGGGGCTGGGAAATGCCGGGAGCAGGCAGAGCGCGAGGCAGAGAGGTTCATCCACGTGACGGGGCCACTGGTGCAGGAGGCAGCTGTGGCACTCATGCATTAGAGTGTGTAGTGTGGTGTGAAATAGATGTGGTAAGGGACAAGTAGCAGATGTATATGGTTCTGGACCGACCTGTTTTATCAGCTTTTCTTGTGTACTCTAAGTGATGTACTATGTGTAATGTGTATGAGAAGCATAATATGTTGATTAAGTATTTATTCTGTGAGCTACAGGTGATATAGTTCCTTATATGTTCTCATTTGATTTTCTTTTATCTGTTTCTGGGTCTAGACACTGGCTTTTGCTGACAGCTTACATTGACAAGTGGTTTTCTATGTTTACTCAAAGGTTGGTTTCTGTAGGTCCAGTTATCAACTGAGAGCAAAGAAAATTTCTTCTTGCTGTCCTAAAAAAGGGAAGTTCTCCCCGTTAGTCTTTTATGTGTTGCACTTTAGTATTGAAATTATCCATTTTGAATATCAGCATCTAAGTGACTAAAGATGTTTTCTGATGAATTGGATAATATGCTGTTGATTTTGTGGTTCTGAGCAGATAATGGTAGTGCGTTCAAGTTCTAGTAGGTTATCTGTATTTTCTGATTTGTGTATTGCATTTGAACCATGATTAAAACTACGCCAAATTCTTGTACGAGACAACCTAACTATTATGCTTTCTTATTGTGAGTATGACAATTGAACCACGATTACAACTACACAAACTCTTGTTTTATGAGAATCTAACCATTATACGAGTCGACTCATCATACTCTTTAAAAATTTGCCTACTTACACTAAATGTTATCCTTTTATTTATATTGTTTGTTAAAGCATGACGCATTTTTTTTAATGAAATTATAAATACATATGAAAAAAGTACATTGACTTACCAATAAAGTTTTTTATTTGGAACCTTAAAATTATTTTTTTCAATAATTATTTTAGCCATTTTAAAATGCAAAACATAAATTTTGGTCATGTTTGGTAAAAAAAATGTGTTTTAGCCATTTTGCCACTTAAAAAGACAATAATACCCCTACTTTCTATTTTAAAAAAAAGGATAAAACTTATATAAAAAACTCCTCCTAATCTATCTCTCTCATTCATTCATTTCCTCTCTCTCTCTTCCCTCATATCTCTTCTCTCAATCTATCACTCTCTCTCCTCCTCCCATTCTCATTCTCTGAATTTCTTATAATTCTGACAACATTCCGGTGAAATTAAGGCGACATCTTGGCAGTATTCGTCTAGAAGGTATGTGTATGATTTATCATGTTTTCTTTTCATTATACCAAAATATTTAAAAAAAAAAAAAAAAAAGATCCCAGAAATTGTTTATGGGATCCCAGAAATGAACGGTTTTTGAAAATAATTTATGAGATCTTACAAATCGTTTTTTTAAACCATTTTTTTGCTTTCAAAAATGGTTTTTGGGATCCCAGAAATGCCAAAAAAATAATTTCTAGCATCCCAGAAACGATTTCTGGGATCCTAAAAACTATCTTTGCACAAGAAATGACTTTTGGGATCCCAGAAATGGTCTGGGAATTTTTAAGATCCCAGCAACCGTTTCTAGGCCCCAGAAATCATTTCTGGACTCCCAGACACCATTTCTGAAATCCTAGAAATGGTTTCTGGATCCTAGAAATGGTTTCTGGAGTTCCAGAAATGGTTTTTGGGCGTTTCTGTTTCTCAGAATCGTTTCTGGGATCTCAAAAATAGTAGAAACATAGCATAAACGACTAGTTTCTGGGATCCCATTAATCGTTTGCAGAAACAGTTTTGAGTCCGAGAAACTATTTCTGGGATCCGAGAAATGGAAGAAACAGAAACAATTTTTTGGATCCCATAAACTGTGCTTGGGATCTCAAAAATCGTTTATGGTTCAAAATTTATTTGTTTTATTAAATAAAACATTGAGTACTTAAAAAAAAGTTTCTCATTTTCTTAAACTGTTTTCTAACAATTTATTTATTTATTATTATTATTTTTTTGTTTACAGATGTCCTATGACAAAGTTCGATTTGTACATAGTGGATTTTGGGATGAGCATGTTTATGAAAATGGAAAGGCAGAGATAAACTTTATGCTTTTGGGGAGTTTATCGTATGGAGACTTTTTAAATAAAGTTCATAACATTGTTTATGGAGACAAACACACTTATGACTATCGATTTCACTTCTTGATGGCTAACGAAAACGAAGTTGGAAAAATGATGATTTTTTATGAATCTAACTTGCACAATGTGACCGAATTGTTTCAAGTACCTACTATATATGTTGCATTCCAAGGCAAAGATCGTGGAATAAATGGTTTATCATCGATTGTCATCGACTAGACAGACTTGACCTGAGGATCAATCTTCAGTAGTTTAAACTCAATTTTTCTCGACTACATGCACCTAAACGTATTTTCTAGTCGAAAATTTTGATCCTACCAGTAAAGGCAGTATTTCACCGAATTTTATGTTGCCTGTTCACTGAGTAGCTACAAATTTATGACACCCAAACTACACGAAATTTTACACCGACTTGGACATTCAATCGTCGCAAAATGTAACATGTTACAACACTAATCAATAGCATGTAACTCCACAAAAGGCTATTTGCAATTTTATAAACACTGATTCACAAATTAGCTCTCCTTGGATGATATCTACAAATTAAGACGTATAATATTACAAATAGATTACAAAAAATAAAATTGCGTGAATGCAAATTAGTTCACACGGGTATGCATGGTTTATTATAAATTCCATGTCATCACCGCTTTTCTGAATGCGAGTCGTAAAACTCGGTTAGGTATGGAGAAGTCATCAGCTCTTGCTCCATCATTTGTAGGACCTGCTACATTGTGGGTCGCTTGTCCGGGTTTGCATCTGCACATCTGTTGTAGCAAAATATTTTATTACCGAGTACCAAATCGAAAAATTCGTTCCCCAGGTCGATCTCACAAGAAATGTTAGCCGGATTATGATGCATGTGTATTCAACCACAAGAAAAAGAAACAAATTCCTAAATACTCTAATCAAGATAGTTTGGTTCAAAGTATCAACTACGAAAACTCAAACAAAACAAATTGAAATTACCAAGCAAAGACGAAGATCAAACAAGGATAAAGCAACTAGGGAGTCGGGGATATCCGTTTTGATCTGAAAGGCAATTAACGGGCAAGTGATCATTCAGTTAAAAGATTCGAGAAACCTACTCGTTCAGCGACTCGTCCTCAACAACTTTTCGTAACAAGAGAATAAACATGAACGGCAAATTTAACGAGTCGTTTACCATACAAACAATACAATTACGAACAAGCCTATTTTATACGAGCCTAGATCGATCGAATCCTCCCCTTTCAATTCTAAGAGTCGATTAGATTAGATTGGACGGTGTTTAATCGACTAATCAATTAGAATGAACAAAATCCCACAAGAACGATTCAAATTCAATTGAAAATCAATTAGATATTGAAGTGTCACCATTCAACAATTCTCAACATTTAAGCAAAATAAATGAAAACCCTATTTTGAAAACAACTCTCATAAATTGAATGATCAACAAACACGATAATCATAATCGAAACCAAAACATCATCCCCTATCCCTAGCAATTGGGTTAGCCATGCATACTCAATCCACCACAAACAATCTCAACAATCAAAGAAATCATATCCATGGATTAAACGAAAATAAAATCTTACGAATGATGAAGATCCGAGTCTTGAATCAGAATATAAGCTTAATTCCCATAATAATAGAGAAAAAAAATTCAAGAGAAAATCAAAGATGAAAGTTTAAGGTTTTGGAGAGAGAAATTCCTAAGTACGGCGATGAATGATGCCCCTAGGGTCTGAGATAAGTTCTAATTTATAAGGCTCAATAAACCAAGCCAAAACGAGGGAAAACGAAAAAAAAAATTCCCGCGACTAGGCCCTAGCGGCGCTAGGTGTTGGGATCTATAAGGATCTCGTTATATACAAGTTACAATTTCAATAGCAAACGTAAACCTATGCGTAGCAGATCTAAAGGTTTGACGTAGGAAACTAACGACTTAAAATTTTCTGAATCTGGCGGATTCGGGATGACCGGGAATAGCATACAATGAAGCCGGGAGCACGAACAGGTCAGGTCAGGCTCGATGTTGGGTCGCGTGCTGTGGTGTTGGGTCGTCGGGCGTGTTGCGCGGGGTCACCGGCGGGGCTGCATCGTCGGGCGGCGGCTTGCGGCAGTCCTAGGTTGACGGCGATTGGTCCGAAGGGTCTGGGGTCGGCGATCCTCAGCCTCTGGATCGTCGTTCGTCGGCTCTGGTTGATCTATGGGGTTGATGAAAATATATCTCTGGTGGGTCTCCTCCTTGATCTGGAGTGAACCAGATGTTACGATCTGTTTGAACTTTCTTCAAATCGCCTCTATACCATCGCAAACACCTACAAGAACTCAACACCGTAAGTGGTTCCGGCGTAGAGCTTCCGACGCTCAAGTCAATATCAGAAATAGATGAAAGGGCTCTACTCAATGGGAGTTGGTTGCTAAATCTTTGAGAGAAATGTGACTTAAGCCTCTAGAAATGAGTTGATACAATGGAAACCCTACCTTGTTGACTGGAGATCCTAATATCTTAGTTCAAAGGGACAACCTAAATGTAAAAAGACTCTTGTGATCACTGTGGGATATTATCCATTGTATATTCCTTAAACAGTGATACCCATTTTGAGTAGGATAAGCATTTGGATTTTAGTGATTCTTATATAAAAATGTAGTATGGGTTACTTGTAATCAAGAATCACCTATGTGAGAGAGAACTGGAGCCGCTTCAAAGAGAATTGTGTGAGGCTCAATTCTTAGACCCTTTTACAGAACTAGGCTATGTCTAAGGTCATCAATGGACATAATAATGAGAACTGGATTTTAGGGAGAATCATGTGTGAAGTATATTTATCGTTTACACAAAAGGCAGAACAGTTCAAAGACATCGCGTCTACTAGTCAGCTGGTAAAGTTAATGTACTTTCACAAGGGAAGGTTAAAAGGATAACTCCTACTTATCCTATGCAGGTTTCAACTGTTGAACCATAACACATATGTTTTATAATTTCATTCAGGGGGATTGTTGGAATATTATGTGAATGAAATTTGTACATAAGCATTGATTTTAAAACTGTGTCTTCCACTTTTAAGAAAACACTTGTAACTTGGTTTTATTAATGTTGAAACTGTCTTTATCCTAAGTTTATTAATGATGAAGTAAATGTATTAGCTACCTTATCTTAGTATTATTAATATGGTGGTCTTCTTTGAGGAGAACTACACAAGAAAGGAAGAAAGAAGAAGAAAAAAAAAATATCCCCCTATTTTTCTTTTAAGTGTTTCGGTCCAGACATAGTTTCAGTTCGCCGAATTTGATTCGGTCTTTCTGTTGTATCCTGGGAAACAGACGCTCATACGGGGCGAATCTTTTTTAAGTATGCTGTGTTTTCACAGGCCTCGGTATTATACTAAATAGCCATTTTATTTTTATTTTCCTGATAAAGTTCCCTACATGTGGGACATGTGGCAATCCAACACGGGGGCATCGCCCTGACCAATCTGACCAGGATGATTCATGACGATAACCTATGAGGTAAAGTTAGCAGTCTCCTTAGCAGGGTCATCCTTTGAGTTGGAAGCCACATAACCACGCTTCAAGTCCTTGACAACAACATTCTTCACATTGAACCCAACATTGTCACCAGGGAGAGACTCTTGCATTACCTCGAGGTGCATATGAATGGACTTAACCTCA